TTGTTCACTTTGTCCCTGTTTGTTGATATTGTTCTGTTTTTTCACGTAGTTAGTCTCTGTTAATATTATTCTTGTTTGTTGACATTGTTCTTGTTTGTTCACATTTTTCTTTGTTTGTTGATATTGTCCCCGTTTGTTCACATTGTTTTTGTTTGTTCAATCTGTGCCTGTTTTTTTTTATATTGTTCCTCTTTTCACATCGTTTCTGTTTGTTCACATTATTCCTTTTTGTTCACTATATCCCTGTTTGTTCACATAGTTCCTGTTTCTTCACTCTGTCCCTGTTTGTTAATATTGTTCCATTTTGTTCACTTTGTCCCTGTTTGTTGATATTGTTACATTTTGTTCACTTTGTCCCTGTTTGTTGATATTGTTACATTTTGTTCACCTTGTCCCTGTTTGTTAATATTGTTACCTTTTGTTCACTTTGTCCCTGTTTGTTGATATTGTTACATTTTGTTCACTTTGTCCCTGTTTGTTGATATTGTTCCATTTTGTTCACTTTGTCCCTGTTTGTTGATATTGTTACATTTTGTTCACTTTGTCCCTGTTTGTTGATATTGTTCCATTTTGTTCACTTTGTCCCTGTTTGTTGATATTGTTACATTTTGTTCACTTTGTCCCTGTTTGTTGATATTGTTCTGTCTATGCACGTAGTTATTCTTTGTTAATATTATTCCTTTTTGTTCACATTGTTCTTGTTTGTTCACATTTTTTTCTGTTTGATGATATTGTTCTGTTTTTTCACCTTGTTCCAGATTTTTCAATATGTCCTTTTTGTTCCCCTTGTTCCTCTTTGTTCACTCAGTCCCTGTTTGTTGATTTTGTTTTGTTTGTTCACTCTGTTCCTTCTTAATAACATTGTTCCTGATTGTTCACATTGTTCCTACTTGTTCAGAATATTTTTATTTGTTCACCATCGCAATTTACCGTTCTACAATGTTTTGTTTTTTTTTAATTTAAAAATGTAAATTAGATTTTTTTTTTTTGGTAGCATGTTATCCTTTCAACGTCCCCAGAGGGCCTAGAGTCCATTCTTCTCACATAGAGCTACAAGTCATTCTTCTCCAATGGAGCTAGATCCCATCCTTCTTCAAGTAAAAAAAATTTTAGTAAAGTAGGAACACTGACCTAACAAAAGCTAGGGTCACATCCATGAAGATCACCAGTTAACCATTATTATATTGTGAATGTCAGCTTGTATATTTGATCAGATCACGGCGTTGACAGCGTTTCGACCTTATCTGAAGTCGCTGACAAAGTCGCAGTTGTTCCTAGTGATCACCTCCTGCTTTTCTTCCATCCGGAGCGCCTTCTTGGCCATTCTCGCACAGATGGGGGTAAGTTAGCTATAATTTCTTGGCCATTTTATCACAGATGGGAGTAAGTCTTCAAGAGTTTCATGGCCATTCTATCACAGATGGGAGTAACTCTTCTAGAGTTTCATGGCCATTCTTTCACAAATGGGGGTAAGTCTGATATAGTTTTTTGGTCATTCTATCACAAATGGGGGTAAGTCTGCTAGAGTTTTTTGGCCATTCTATCACAGATGGGAGTAACTCTTCTAGAGTTTCATGGCCATTCTATCACAGATGGGGGTAAGTCTGCTAGAGTTTTTTTGCCATTCTATCACAGGTGGGGGTAAGTCTGCTAGAGTTTTTTGGCCATTCTATCACAGATTGGGGTAAGTCTGCTAGAGTTTCATGGCCATTCTATCACAGATGGGGGTAAGTCTGATGTAGTTTTTTCACCATTCTGTCACAGATAGTAGTAGGTTTGCTAGAGTTTCTTGTCCATTCGATGACATATGGGAGTAAGTCTGCTAGATTAACCTGACCATTCTATCAAAGATGGGAGTAAATCTGATTGAGTTTCTTGGCCATTCTATCAAAGATGGGAGTAAATCTGATTGAGTTTCTTGGCCATTCTATCAAAGATGGGAGTAAATCTGATTGAGTTTCTTGGCCATTCTATCAAAGATGGGAGTAAATCTGATTGAGTTTCTTGGCCATTCTATCAAAGATGGGAGTAAATCTGATTGAGTTTCTTGGCCATTCTATCAAAGATGGGAGTAAATCTGATTGAGTTTCTTGGCCATTCCATCACATATGGGAGTAGGTGTGATATATTTTCTTGGACCTCCTTTCCTCTTCTTCTTCTTTTATATCTTAAGGGCCCACGATCAATTTTGTGATCATTTTGGCTCCTATGCATTTAGAGTGGATTTGCCGTGTTTCTATGCCTGGTGTTGATGAGGATATTTCACTAGTTGCAAGTGCTAATTTGTGAGGTTATCATGCGCTTGGGGTTGGATGGCCTGTGGCAATAGACGTATACAACTTTGAGACACGTATAAAATGCTTAAAATAGTTCCTGAATTGATACTTTTAATGTATTTGTAATTTATAATAATATTTAAACTTTTACTAAAATAAAAGCGGATTTAAAATAGTTTTCTGTGCATTTAAATTCATTCGATTTCCGTAAAACATAGAAAATATGTATGCTTGTTTTTGGGAATCTGAACGTAGTAAATCTTATCGGTTCCTTAGAGTTACATCAGTATAGCTCATTCTTATATATATGTCACCATACAATATATTTTTCACAGATTTGGTAGAGTTCCTTTTATGTTTACAGTCAGATATCTAATATAAAAAATGTTGTCTTTGATAGATTGGCGAAAAATTAATTTTTTTACAGCTTTCAGTCTTCCCTACTTCAAGGGAAAGATTTCGCCCTGATCTCACGTGCCGAAGAGGGTGTGATATTTTCCATCCATCCCTGTGGCGCTACAGCCCATGTAGGGCTTTGGCCTGCCTCACTACTTCCTTCCACTCAGACCTAACTAATGCCTTTCTTTTCCATGCTTGTACTTTCAGCTGCTGTAGATCTTTTTCTACATCATCTATCCACCTAAGCCTAGGTCTGCCTTTGAGCCTTTTTCCTCTGGGGTATTGGTGATGTACCCTCTTCGTTCCTCTGTCATTTGGCATTCTCTCTAGGTGTCCTGCCCAGCGTAGCCTGCCTCTTTTTATTTCTGCCACTATCGTGGGATCCTGATATAGACTGTATAACTCCTGGTTGGTTCGTATTCTCCATCCATATTCATCCTTTGTTGGCCCATATATTTTCCTGAGAACTTTCCTCTCCCATGTGTTTAATAGGTTTTCTGCTGTTTTTGTTAGGGTCCAAGTTTCACTTGCATATGTTACAACTGGTCTGATCACAGTTTTATAAATAGTTTTCTTTGTTTCTCTTGTAATGTTTTTACTTTTGAGTATTTTCTGACTACTGAAGTATGCCCTGTTTCCGGCTGATATTCTTTCTTTTATTTCTGTTAGTAATTCGTTTCTTTCATTTAACAAGGATCCTAGGTATTTAAATTGATTTACTTTTTCAAAAGTTTGGTTTCTAATTTTAATTGTTTCATCTGTTTGTTCCTCTCTTATCATGGTCATGTATTTTGTTTTTTTGGTTGTTGACTTCCAGCCCTGCTTGTAAAGATGCATCTACTAATTCAATAAAGGATTTTGATATGTCTTTTATACTTTTTCCTAGAAGTGCTATGTCATCAGCATATGCAAGATACTGAAGTGGTTGGTTGTAGAGTGTGCCCGTTGGTTGTGGGTCTTGACTTTCCATCAGAAAGTATTCTGTTATCGTTCCTCGAGTGTCAATGTGTATGTTTCTAATAACTCTCTCCAGTGTTAGGTTAAAGAGCGTACAAAACAGTGTGTCTCCCTGTCTTAGGTCTCGTCTAATATGAAATTCCCTTGAATATTCTCCTTGAATCTTGATTTTGCTTTTTGCTCTAAATAGCTCTGAATATTAACAACACCGATATATTAAATTAAGGGCCCACGATTAATTTATTGATCTTTCTGGCTCCTATGCATGTAGATGGGATTTGCAATGTTTCTGTGATTGGTGGTGACCAGGATATTTCACTTGTTGAAAGTGCTACTGAGTGAGTGTGTCATGATCTGCGGCTTGAAATGCGTTTGCACGACTTCCCCTCTCAAAAAAACTCCATATTTATACAGGCTCAAACTTAAAATAAATAAATAATCATTAAAAAATCCGTATTATTTCAGGTGTCCATAGATCTTATTATAGGAGCAATGCTGATCTCCGCCCCTGCTACATTTACCATCTGTAAGCTCATGTTTCCAGAGACTAGTAAGAAGAAACACGTCAAAATTTTGGATATCGGAAATGAAGAGAAAAGGTAAAATTGTGTATCTCAAGATTCTTACTTAGCTTCTTGAATAGTTCATTTCTTTTCTCTGTCTTGTATTTATATGGTCGGCTGCTCAAATAGTGTGTTCCCTTTAGAGGGAAAGCTTACATTATCATAAATAAATTTTCTTGAAATTATTAAGTTTACTTAGCTTTGTTTCATTATTAACTAATAAAGATAAAATTTAAAAAAATTGTGGGACCAAATAAATGGAAATGATTTTAGATTTTAGATTACATTGTACATATTCATTTTCAGCACATAAATAAATACATATTTCAACCCAAATAAAATGTTACAATTATACCAATTTAAGCACAAAAGATCTAAAGAATTTCTCTCGACAAAGTATTTATCTTTACTTACATTATACAGAAAAGAAAATTCCTTAAAATTTGAAAACAAAATTCAAACAAAAATTGAAAACTATTTTAAAAAGATCACACTTTTTATTTAATATTTGCATTGAACTTTATAATTAAATAACTTTACAGAAATATGGTACATTGTTCACGTCACCCAGGTGTCACCAAATCCCTGGAAAGCGTTGATATAAGTGGTATGCCGTTTCCTACTGCCTCTGAAGGATCATTCCTTCAAAATGTCATAAATATTTAACGATAAGAATATTCACTTCCCCAGCAAGTACGTCAATTGGCTGGACGCCTTCCAGGAGGGGTCATTCGCAATGCTTCCTGTACTTAGAAACATTGTGGTCAGCGGCTTCACGTTTGTCTGTCTCATATCGTGGGTCAACAACACACTGGCCTGGTTCGGAGACCGAGTCGGTATAGCCAAACTCTCCATTGAGGTGGGCGTCTGATTAAGCTTAATCAAAAGATGATATAAAGATAAGCTGAGGTGATAAAGAGATAACCCTATATGAAATAAAGATAGGCCAAGCCCTTGTGACTCTATGCTGCTTATAAGCCTGCAGAAGGAGACAATGAATTCCTCATTTTTTAAATACAGGAGCCTCTATAAAACGAATCATATTATTTTTTATTTCATTTGTTTTGATATAAATAGTATTCTAGATGGGATTTATGCTTTTAGTGTTAATCTTTACTTACTTAAAAAAAAAGAGATATCAAATAAAAAGTTTAATCATCTTTAATAAAAAAATAAGTACGGCAGCTCCCGGTCATTGCATGTTTAAGCTTGAAAAAGCACACGACAATGCTCTACATCTGAAAGAAACTTGAAAAGTTTGTCATCTTTCCATAGAGAAATAAACGGGAACAAAAATAAAGTTTTTAATTACATTTTAACCTACAAACATATCTCTGTTCTTTTATCCTACAGCTGATATTTTCTTACGTCTTGTATCCCGTTCCTCTTGCCATGGGCGTGGCCCCGGAAGACTGCAGAAGGGTCACAATGTTATTCGGATACCGGCTTGGCAGCACCAATATTGTTGAATTTTTCAAGGTGTTCCTCTTTTCCGAGCTGGCAAAATTTTAAACTTACGGTTCAAAGGAATAAAACTAGACTCTCTCATTTTATTTTGAATTTTTTGTTTTTTATAAACATTTTATGACATTATACTGCGTTCAACAAAGACCGATGTCAACAAACACCAATGTCAACAAACACCAATGTCAACAAATATCAATGTCAACAAATATCAATGTCTCAAAATATGTCAACAAATATCAATGTCAACAAATACCGGTGTCAACAAATACCAATGTCAAAAAATACCGATGTCAACAAATACCAATGTCAACAAATACCAATGTCAACAAAGACAGATGTCAACAAATGCCAATGTCAACAAAAACCAATGTCAACAAAGACCGATGTCAACGAATACCAATGCCAACAAAGACCGATGTCAAAAAATACCGATGTCAACAAATACCAATGTCAACAAATACCAATGTCAACAAAGACAGATGTCAACAAATACCAATGTCAACACAAACCAATGTCAACAAAGACCGATGTCAACAAAGACAGATGTCAACAAATACCAATGTCAACACTATACCAACGTGATTTCATTCCTACACTTGACATCCTATGCTCCAGACTGCAATATTATTATTATTTATTACAGTTGTCTTATTTAGAGCAGTACCACAGCCTAGGACTAGGCTCACCGCACTTCACATAAAAATGAGTAGTCGCAGAAAATTATACATTTAAAAACAGATATGTAAAAAGCTTGACCTCACTCACTCAAGTGCCATCTACCACTTTTTAGCCTTGGACGGAACTCAAGAGCATCGAGCTGTTTATCAGTCCTTGTTTACGTCGGTATGTAAGGTCAGCACTGAGGCAAAAGCAAAAAAACAAAAGAAAAAAGCTGCGCACGTTGGCTGAATTTAGGAGCCATCTTGCCAACAAGTATCTATAAATACACATATTTTTGTATGAAATATGACGCTTGTAGCGACCTCTGAAGATGGAGCCGATGGGGTCTCCCACTTCGACACGCAAATCCCCCCCCCCCTAACATTAGCATGACTCTTTTTACTTATACAAAGCAAGATCAGGCAACGTCATTGGCCTTTAACTGCATAGCTTTAGGCTTATATTTAGGAGCCAACTTGCCAACAAGTATCTATAAATACACATATTTTTGTATGAAATATGACGCTTGTAGCGACCTCTGAAGATGGAGCCGATGGGGGCTCCCACTTCGACACGCAAATCCCCCCCCCCCCTAACATTAGCATGACTCTTTTTACTTATACAAAGCAAGATCAGGCAACGTCATTGGCCTTTAACTGCATAGCTTTAGGCTTAATGACCATGAACTTTGTGTGAGAGATTTTAATATTTGTTTAAAGTATCGGCAGAGGTAAAATGCAATTGCTCACTTTAAAAAGCATTTTTTTGTTTTCATTTCATCGTCTAACTAAGACGTTACTTTGGCAATACAATCATAAAATATGTTAGCTACTGATAGACGTCTGTTAAAGAACTTCATACAGGCGCCTGTTGTAGAAGTGCAGTTAGACTTCTGTTAAATAACTTAAGATAGACGTCTGTTGTAGACCTTCAGATAGACGTCTGTTGAAGAAATTCTGATAGACGTCTATTGTGGAGATTTGAATTATTTAAAGAAACTTGGCCCATGAAGTAGCTCGATGGCCACAGCAGTGGCTCACGACAAAATCATTTCCCTACAACACACTAACCCTGTTATGTTTTTGATCAGCTTGCAGAGGCCAGAAACAACAGGTCGAAATATCTGGACTACATGCTCAAGACGGACGGTAACCTACGTGAACGATGACGTCATTCTTGACCAGTGGGGAGTAACTCTTCCGTTGGGATTCATCTCAGCAAGGCTCAATTAATCTCAGTAGGACTGACTTTATCTCAGTAGGACTGACTTTATCTCAGTAGGACTGACTTTATCTCAGTAGGACAGACTTTATCTCAGTAGGACTGACTTTATCTCAGTAGGACTGACTTTATCTCAGTAGGACTGACTTTATCTCAGTAATCTACGCTGACGTTACTTAAACTTAATTTATTATAATGTTTACTTTATTTCGATAAGATTTACTTAATTTAGGTAAAGTTTAATTATTGAATATTAGTGCTTCCATACAAACAACATTAAATCCCTCTGTAACGAGAAGGAAGAGACATCTAGAGCTAAATTTACTTGCTATTTATAGAAATCTCTTAGATGCTAGCGAGAACCCGTCTTGCGTTGCAGTGCCACTCAAAGAAAAAAAGTGTGTGTGTTTTAATTACGTTTTTGAAGTAATTTCAAAATAGAACACTTTTTTTCCGTCCGTACACTCATAGATTAGAAGGTTTTTCGAAGCGTGAACAGGCAACATACAGCTGTCCACGTGAGAAGCATGGATCTTCAAAATTAAGTCCACACACTTGTAGCGATTGATCCACCCATACAATAGATATGTTTGAAATAATATTTTTATAGCTCACATAATGAAAAAATAATATAAAATAAGGCCCCCGGCCTCAAAAAGTGAAATTGTAAAATGTTGGTAATAATTCAGAAACCTACTTAAGCCAACACACAAACTGAAATGTCGCTATTTGTATTTGGTTCCATTCCATCCATCCATGCCATAGCTCTGGTTGAAAATATATTTATATACCACATATTAGGAAAAAATAATTTAGGGCCCCCGTCCAAAAAGGAATATTTCAAAATGGATAACCTACTTTATAAACCTTTGTATGCTTGCGAATAACAAAGTATAAAAGTTTCATCGCAATCGGATGTATGGTATATGAACGCACACGGAAATTACACTGAGCTCATAAATAGGAAGACAGACCCAAAACGGACTATTGTAAAATGTTTGTTATAATTCAGAAAAATGTGCGGGTGTATAAATCTCCCTAAATGTTTATCTTAATCGGATGAATGGTATAGGAGCGCATACACACATACATTAATTTATATATATATACAGTCGAACCCGCTTATCTCGACATCAGTTAACTCGGCAACCCTGTTACGTCGACAGTTTTGAAGTGGATCCGCAAAATTCTCTTTTTTTCTCAGCATTTTCTCCTCGGTTATATCGATTCTTTCATGTCGCTGAACCCTGATATCTCCAGCACAAAAGGCCACTTAAACTCGGTTATGTCGATCCCCATGACCAATCGCCGGCTTTTGAAAATTATATACAACAGAAAAGTGCCTACTTCAAACTGTTGTATTTGAAATGAAATGACAATATAGTTGTCCTCGCATTCAATTTTACACAGCAAGACGCGAGGAGCGAGAGATCTTGCAAACAAAGGAGAGGGGTCGCAGTAAATCTTCTATTTATGACAGACCCGCTTGTCACTTAGTACTTAAAAGGTTTTCAATCGTTCTTACATTAAAAAAAAAAAAAACAAGAAACCATTCTTAAAAAAANCCCCCCCCCCCCCCCCTTTTCCGATTCCAATGGCAATACCATCATTTATTTATATCCGAAAGAAGCTCTTCCCGATCTCTCCCTCCTTAACACCTGCTACACAATTTCAAGGTATAATTCTGATTGTGGGTCGGCACAACCAAGCTAATGTTATTAAGGGTACTCGGAATCTAAACGGTTGAGAGCAACTGGGTTAGGATTATATTATGAGGCTATTGTTGCTTTGAAGCCTTCAATTTTGATGCCTACGTTGATCGCTAATTTCTCTAATAGGCATCTGATGGTGAAAATCTGATCAGTCGTTGGACTCTGCTCCTTTTTCCATTGTAAACATTGGACTATGCTCCTTTTTCCATTGTAAACGGATTTTTCGTTTCCATTTGTCTTATGGACTTGGCCATTTTTTCTCCTTTAAACTTAATTCAGCACCTTCTATTTTTAACTGGCTATTAGTCAGGGATGATAACTCTAAAAAATTAAAAATGGACTCTGCCGTTTTTTCCCTTGAGGTCTTCATATATATATATATATATATATAGGTATGTATGAATGTCTGTATGTATATGTCACGTATGCGTTCCTATACCATTTATTCGATTGTGATTAAACTTTGGTGAATTGTTGTGCTCATGTCTGTAAATATTTCTAAATAATTAGTACAACTATTTTACAATACAATATAATTTACAGTCTGGGCCCTAATTTCGTTTTATTTTTTCTAAAATGAGCTGTATAAATATAATTTCGAACAGAGCAAATGCTTGGGTGCATGGAAATTGAATTAGTACAACCATTTTACAATATTCCGTTTGGGGCCGGGGACATAAAATTATCAAAAGTTACTTGGAAAGGACGTCGCAAAAAAAGGGCGCCTGTACTCCATTCGGGTCCGTTCTACGCAGGGTTGCCAACTCAACAAAATTTACGGACAAAAACAATTTTTTTACGGACACATTTAACGTAAAATGTTGACCGAACGACTATGAAGCATAATCCAAACATTGTAGCTAAAAAATGTAAAGTATCCATATGAGTACGTCTCTATTACCATTCTCATTTTTTATAACGTTAGTTTATTGTATGACATTCATCATCAGTGGCAGTGTTTAATTCCTCCTGCTTAGGATCATACATAGAAACATTTACACTGTCGATCATTGTGGGAGTAATTTTTTCCCGGTCCATTTCTTACAGTCAGTAAACTTCCCAACATTGGATTAGACAACGTGTTTCTCAAGTTGGTTTTCAATAAACTAACAGCAGAAAAAACGCGTTCTACTTCTGCTGTTTTCATGTGGAAGCGCCAACATTGTTGGTGCAAAATTCGAAAGTAGCTGAAATCTCTACTCTTTGTTTTCGATATTTCTAGTCATTTGTCCAATTTGATGCCAGAAAGCATCATAACCTCCGTCGGCCTTGACAACATTGCTTAAATCCGCAACTTGGTAGTCAATAAACTCGGCCTCTAAACAATCAAAATCTGCTGGAGACACAATTTGTGGAAAAAGCTGGGCCAGTTCCAAAATTTCCGACTGTTCCACCGATATTCTGTTAGTGGGTTTTAGTACTGACATGAGCTTCAGCACTCTGTTGCTAATAGGCATTCTTTTCTGGATGGCACCGAATGCATTGGTATAAAATGCAAGAACATCAACATAAAACTTTTCAACAGTCGATGGATCATCTACTTTTTGCAGCTGTAGTTTAGTTTGATAACCAATGACTATGTTATCGCGTGATTTAAAGTTTGTACTTTCCAAGTGATCAAAACTCGTTAAGTCTTCAACTAACGACTTGTGGTCGTATATAGTAACCCAACACACTTTTCAACAGTTGATTTGCCTCTGCAAACAAATCTGGTAAAATCGGAGAATTTGATTGAAACATTTTGTTGAACTGAGTAAACATAGGCAGCACTGCTTGCAAAAGCAAAAAATAACATTTAACGACATGATTTTGCAATTGAGTGCTAATTCTATCCACTGTAACCAACCGGTCACACTCATCACTTGATTGAAAATAGCTTGAAAGTGCATCATATTGGTTAACAATACGATTAATACACTCCAACAGGCTCAACCATCTCGTGGAACACAGCTGCAATATTCGTAGAGTGTCTGCTTCCACGAACACTTGAAACTCTTTGTACAGCTGTAATCTTTTGCAACTATGTGAAAAATGGCTGTGAATGCCTCTGCATAGCTGTTCAATAAATTTGGGAAATGTTTTATATGCATCAGCGGCACATAGAGCAGCTACATGGCATGTGCAGTATATATGAAATATATTTGGTTGTACACTCCTGAAACGTGAAAGCACGGAAACGGAATTTTTGGCTCCAATCATTACGTTAGCCCCATCAGTTCCAAGTGCCATTACATTGGCCAGTGGTATTTTATCTTCGTCCAGACATGGCTTGATTACAACAAAAATGAACTCTGCCTTTGCTTCTTTTAAATCAACTAAACGATAAAATCTATATTGAACCTTACCAATTTCAACATCGAAGTAAATCACCACCACGGCCATTTTTTCTGTGGTTGATATATCAGTTGATTCGTCAACCAACAGAGTAAAATGACATGATCTCAACTTAGTGGACAAATCTTTTTTCAGTTTGCCAATAACCTTTTTAATCATCATAGATCCCTTTGTTCGTTTAGAGCTGAAATCTTTGCGATTTTTGAATCAGGAAACCAATCTGCAACATTTCCCGAGATGTCGTCCATTAAACTTAGTGGCAAGTTTTTTCTTGCGACAAAATGTGCCACTTTTAATTCACATTCTGTTACCTGTTTGTTGTGAGCAGTTACAGGAGATGGTTTTTTATCCTTGGTCAAGAACTGCAACATTCCACCAGCAAATTTCCTTGTTGACATTGCCTGAATATGTTTTGCGCTTCTACCGTGGCTGCGAACGTCTCGTACACCACCAGATGCAACGCTAAACATCTTTCTACAGCATGTACATACAGCGTTATATTTGGAATCATTGTCCGTTGATATCCAGTCCTTAAATTCGCCGTTTGCAATCCATGTAGGTTGAAAATAGCAATTTCTGTTCACTTTGGCTTTATTAACAATAATTTTATCCGCATTTTCGTTTATTTCAGTTTTCACTGCGGCTATTATCTTTGCTTGTATTCATCTTCTCCGCCATTTTTTAAAAACAGATACTAATATAATAATTATGTCATCATAATTTATGCGTAATTGTGACGTAACGACTAACGATCTGTCTAAACAAGTCCATCTTGCCGCGATGCGTCTCGCCGCGCGAGCCTTGCTGCCCAGAAAGCTCTTACAGTTTATTAATAGAGCGCGGGATGCCACTAAAACAATTTAAAAATTAAAATTTAAATCAAGAAAATAGATATCACAAACATGATTTACTGGTTTTTTTTAAAGTTGAGATTCCACGTTTTGTCGATTTTTTTTACGGACGTCTTAATTTTTTAACGGAATTTTACGGACAGGCAATTTTACGACACATTTTTACGGACTGTCCGTAAATTTACGGACGGTTGGCAACCCTGCTCGGTGGACCACCCCATCCACCTTTTCTCGACACCACTAGCAGGTCGTATCTACAGTGTTGGTATCAAGGGACACGATTCATTTTCACGTCCACCCCCCCCCCCCACGCCCCGAAACTGATTTTTTTCAACCATTAAATGCCATCAAAGCCTGTTATTTGCCCCCACCGTTAGCCNAAAAATGTCTGAAAGAAACACTGTTTACCCACACCACTCTTTAACGGGAGGCATAACTTTTCTTTCTTTTTTTTTTTTTTTCGGTAATTTCTAATAACTTAAATAGAGAATGAATGAAGTTTCTAAAGCACTAAACCGTATTATTGTGGAATACGGAACAAAAAAAATATTTGACATGTTCAGCGAATGGTTATGATACAGATAGACTAATCCTGTCCGTTACACAAAAAAAAAAAAAAAAAAAAAAAAAACTCGTAGAATCACCGGAACACAAAAACTGATACTTCACTGATGAGGAAAGAAAGCAGATGTCACGTAGTAGTAGGCAATTTCCATACACAATACACACGTGACACAGATTAATACCAATTTCACCTTTCTATCTTTTATAGAGTTATGATTTATTTTTTATTTTTTTATTTTTTAAAACCCCTTCTCCATCTTTGTATTTAACTGGAAAAAAACGTTTGACCCACTTTCCAAATGTATGCCTTATTTGGCCCAATACTTTTTATTTTAAAAGATAATCATAATGCTATCAAATTTTCAGGAGAAATTCTCAGCGCAATATACAAGATAATAAAAAACAAAACTTTTACATGATATCAAGACTTTGTATTTTGGATAATTTTATTTGAGTGTTTGTCAAGAAAAATGTTAACAGAATAATTGGAAGAAAAGGAAAAAACAAAATAAAAGCAAGTTTATTGTATTTTAATGAGTTAAATATGTGCTTGTTAAATTTTATATCACTTCTTATATTTATAAAAGTGAATGGTAAGTAGAAGTGTTTTTTTAAAAATAAAACTAAATGCAAGAAATTATAAGTAAAATCCACAAAAATACAAGCATACCAGTATTGGTATGTGATAAAATTTCAAAAAGGTAATTAATAGTAATGTTCTGCCTGTCATGTTCTACTTAAACTTCTCTACAAACTTTTTGGTCTTGTTGAATCCCACAATCTCTCCTTCATAAACTTTGTCTTAGCCATCTACATCCAAATGTGCTTCATTGTCGACCATTGGAAAGAATACCGAGTTCCTCTATAGAAAACAAAAACATTCTATGTACTTTGACACAAAATTTAAACGAAGTGGTTATTTGGACCCGGGTCCGCGAAATGAGAGGTTGGGATTAAAATAAAATATTATTGTTAGCTTGTAAGACTAAATTTGGTATGAAATGAAGGATAATTGAATGGACTATATGTTTGTAAACTTATTTCTTCAGTTTAACTAAAATAAACTACCACAAATGACATCCGAATAGCTTGAGTCTAATGGGACCCGGCATGGGCGCCCGCAGGTGGGGGGGGGCAAGGGGGGGGCAATTTCCCACCTGGATTGATTGAATAATTTTTTTTAGACACAAATAGACAAAAAATGTATTAAAGTAAAGAGAAAATAAAGAGAAAGTAACTAAGCTAATGTGTCCTTTCGCTCACCACACAAATACGCTAGAGTAAATTAAAACTAGATTAAAACATTACTAAAAAATTTTTTGCCCCCCCCCCCGGAAATTTAACCCTTTTTTTTGCCCCCCCCCCCCCCCCCCCCCCAAGAAAGTTTTCTGCGGGCGCCCATGGACCCAGGTCAGAATAGCGGCGATGGGGTTCCGGTTCCATTTTGACTAAATTCTATTCGGATGTCATTTGTGGTCGTTTATTTTAGTTTAACTGAAGAAGTAAGTATACAAACATATTGTCCATTCAATTATCTTTCATTTGATATCTAATTTCGTCTTGCTAACCCTACAATAATTTTTAAATATTCTTTTTAAACCCAAACGCTCAACTGGTCCGAATAGCCGCATCCAAATCTAAATATCGTCCGATCGCAATGAATGATATTTACATTTTTTTTACTGTACTTTATTGTTAATTGTCTTACCACTATTTTTCTTGTTTGCTGAAGAAGGCTCTAAGCCAAAATATTCAAATCGTATTGTCCTGTGTATTAATTCAAGCTTAGCATACCTTGTCCTATTTTAAAATTTAATTTTTAAAACTTGAATGCAGTCCATCAACTATTACAGGTTCGGTGAACATGGTCAGGTTACTTACGGCACGGTTATTGAACAAGACCATCCATTCATCCTCCCGGGTATCATCATTTCTATTCATCTAGGATACAATCTGAAGTCTAACCGTACTCTAACTCTAATTTCTTGCACCAATACACCAGAGAGAGTGATGAATGAAACCAAATCAATTCAGATTTTCGTCACCATAGTTCCATAAGGCAAAAATGAATTTTAAAATTTATTTTTCAAGAAATTAAGTATATTAAGTTTTATTAACGCACTAAAATAAGGGATTACCCAACCAGTAGGTTACTAGTTACTACTAGTTATATTTATTTCCCTCAATTTCTATTCTCAAATTTAAATGTAGGTTCTTCAGTAAAGCAAGGGAGACTACAGACTATTGGTGCCATAACGTATCGCACGGCCACCTTCTTGGTTGCTACTACCCGTGAACTTTTATAATTGTCACTAAACCTTACCTGACTGAACCCTAAATGTATCCCTAAACCTAACCTGAACCCTAATGGTATTCCTAATAACACCAATTCTCTGCATTTGTATTGGAAATGGGTGTTGTGTTGGTGCAGAAGAATCCAAGATTTTAATGTTTTGGGGGGTTTGGGCTTTTCCATTAACAAAAGGACAATCTTGTCATAACTTCTGGTATCCTTACACATGTTTACATTAGGGGACATCTTGATCTACATTCCATCGTACTGTTTTGCATTGTTTGGTCAACCTTAGTGACCTTAGTTTTAGAAATTCATAGGTGTCTATTAGGCAGCTTTCCATCAAAAAATTTTAATGAAATTTTAAGATCATGTCATTCATATTAAATTCTGAAAAACATTATATATTGATGTATATGTGTGCCTATTCTCATTGATGTAGGTCTTGTCCAACATTCGCTATGCTTACCCAAATAACCTGCATTACCATAAGGTTTGCTCAGCCTAATTTCAACATGGGATGGGTTACATCCCGTTTTTAATGGCGAAAAATGCCAATACTTAGGAAATATTTACTTATTACCACTATTTACATCAAAATATTTGATAAATTATGTTTTAGAATGAACTTAAATGTTATTGAAATAATAATATTTTAGTTTAAGAAACCCCGTAGAGTCCATATTACCAATGATCAAAATTTGCAGTGTGCAAAATGCCTTGGGAAGCTATTCAGTGTCAATTATACCATACAATCTCAGAGTTTTCATTCATAAAAGTTTGCTGTGTGCAAAAATAATTAAACCATTGATCAGGGAAAGCTTAAAATAATTAGTCATGTGCTAAAGTTGAAAGCTGAAAATAAGTAATCCCCAAACAGTATTTTAGTAATAAAGGGATGCATTGCCATATATAGACTATAGCATATACCGGTATAATGGATACCGTAGATTTGGTAAATAGAAAAGCCATATATTAATACATTATATTAAATATACTTATATGCATAGTCCATTGCTAGATAAGCTAGAATTTATCTATAATTGTATAAAATTATTAAAATAATTTTTGATTTAACATTAGTTCTGAAAATAAAAGTCATATAAAATAATAATTACAACGAGTGATATAGCTCTTGATGCGAACAGCAGAATTGGGTCACAAGTATGTGGAGATGCGGTCCATGTTTAAAAAAGGCAAATGAAGTCTTACTTTAAAACTTCGTAACGTTAAAACTACGGTACAACAGCTAAAATATTATTTTAGTGTTATAATTCTGTAAAAAGTTAGTTCTATTCATCTATGCCATTGGTTTATTTTTTTTTTTTATATTTTTTTTTATCAAAGTACCTTGTTAAATATCATATAAAAAAATCAGTACATAATTTTTGTTTAAAGTAAAGAATCAGTATGCTACCCCAATAATGTAAAGCGCACATCTGGTTTTGAGCAATCCAACTTTCATTTCTAAAAATGACATCGACTGCTTCCTGCTCTGAACATTGCCTACATTGACTTCAAGAGCATACTTTTTTTCTTTAAAAAAAAAAAAATTTACATGTAGGCCTATCTCTTATAAGTTATCTCTTGCTTATTATTGTATTGTCTGCTGAAGAATGCGTCTAGCTGAAAGTTATGATGAATTATATTTTATTTGCAAGCCTAATTATATCTTGTTTCAATAGTTATTCACAAAGTCTCCATAACTTTTTTTTAAGTCCTACTAACAATTTTCTGTTTTGCTGGTGTAATGACATACACTATCTGATCTGATAGTAAGTTGTTTAAGGATAGGCTATAAATAACTACCAAACTTTTGTTTTTTCTTTTTAGTAGTAACATTTTAAGTTACATTTTTCATTTTGTTTTATTTACATTTTTGACCACAAACGTAAACACCAACTTTTAGAAGCTTTGACATTTTGAATTCTTTAAAAATAAATTAATAAAGTTTAAGTTACTATGTTTAAATTTTAAATCCTGTTATCACTGTTTTCAACCATTCTGGCTGTTTGTTGAGAAAGGCCTACAATTCTACATGGAATATCAAAAGATACTGTGTAGCCATACACCATATTGTAGAACAAGTTTTTTGGTCATTTTTTTAATGCGCAGAGAGGTTTCAAGGTACCTAACTTGACCATCACTGTGAATCACTGCCTGTTGCTTTTGGTTTTGATATGTTTGAAGGACCAATTATTGTTCATAGGGAAACATCAAGATGAGTCTAAGTCTAGTCAAAAACTTAAAACTCTTTATAATTGATTTGCGAGTTCATGAATATAATGCAGACATTGTAGTGAAACGTTAGGAAAAATTCAACTTTGTCATCACCTATGACTATGCCGACCAATTTAAACTTGTCAGTGCACTAAATTAAGGGATTACCTTTAAATCTTGGTGATCCAAAATCCAAAAAAATCTTTTACTCTATGTTGTTTTTCTTAAGTGGTTCAGGTTTTCCCCCTACATGTGAATCTAAAAGTGATCAGTTACTGTTTTATGTTTATCATTGATTCAACTAAAGTTAAATGCCGTCGGCCGCATATGGACACATTAAATTAAAAATATTCAGCCTTACCATTTATACTTAAAGGGTTCTTATGTGTAAGTCTAAGACTAAATGCTAACTAAAATAATTCTTTATATTTCACGAATCAAAGCTGGTATTATGATCGTTACACATTTAAATACTAACTTTAAAGTAATAATAATGGCTTTTACTTTTTGTACCATGTCTCTATAGTCGGACTGCAGAGAGTTAAAGTGTTCTTATGTGTAAGTTTAAGACTTAATGCTATTTACAATGTATCTTTAAATATCATGGATCAAAGCGGGCATCATGGTCATTTCACATTTAAATACTAACTTTAAACTAATAATAATGGCTTTTACTTATACACAGAGTAAAAGAGCTATTGCACTAAATTAATTTCAACCAAAACAGAGGTTGTTGGAAATTTAAAGTTTAATAAAATAAAATATATCAATAAAAATTATAATAATAATTGATTATTTTGCATTGTACCTTTTTTCTTCGTCTTCTTTGCCTTTTCAATTCCAAGTGTATATTAATAATTTATTTCCAAGCCTTCCTATCTTTAGCTATCCTCTCTAACTCTCTCCAAGTCTTTGCAGACATTGTCATTTATATCTTTTTTATTGACATATCTTCTCCAGTTTTTTTCATGGGTCTTCCTGGTTTTTTTATCCATGAGGGGTCCATACCACTGCTTGTCTTGCTATACGTGGCATGCATTTTCTAATGGTATGACCCAGCCATATAACCCTTATTTTCTGGATTTCTTTCCCATGGGATTTGTGCTGTCATTTTGTTATGCTTGGAATTTTGAGGAACCACTTGATGTTTAGGCATTTCCGCAAGCAACTATTCACAAAGGTTTGCAGTCTTTTCCAATCTTTCTAGGTTGATCTCCAATTTTCTGACTCATAAAGTAGAACATGCTTAACATCTGAGTTAAAAATTTAATTTTTTGTCTTTCTCCTTATTTGCCCGATGTTCCAAATATTTTGAATTCAGCTAACGGCTGCTCTTGGCTTTTGTATTCTTGCCTTGATATCTTCCCCCGATCCCCAAATCCTTACTAACTGTTAAAATACTCTAGTCGAGCACCTTCAAGTATTTTCTGGCACAACTTCAGTTTAGTTTTCATTTATTGCAAGTCCAATCTGTCAGGAAATGGAATCAAAGCCTTGCAATTTTGTATTGTATTTATTTATGTTTATTGCGAGTGCAATCTGTCAGGAAATGGAATCAATCCTTGCAGTTTTGTACTGTATTTATTTATGTTTATTGCAAGTCCAATCTGTCAGGAAATGGAATCGAGCTTTGCATTTGCAGTGTTGTATTGTATTTATTTATGTTTATTGGAAGTCCAATCTGTCAGGAGATGGAATCAAGCTTTGCAGTTTTATATTGTACCAGTATTTATTTATGTTTGTTTTTTTTTGACAATTAGTTATTAATCGGCATACCAAGAATGCTCTTTAGTTGTTAAATCTAGGCTAAACATAGATGGTTTTTACCAACTATCTGATGATTTTATGAATTTGATCCAATATATACTAATTCAGTTAGGCCTATGTGAAACTCTTAAATGTTACTTTCCTTCCCTCATGCCTTCTCACCTTCTAAATTATCTATTTTATTTCCTTTTTGTGAAGTGTCAATAGTGTAACTATTTTGTAACAAATTATCAAATACATCAGATACCAAACAGCATTTCTCTTTTTACCAGACCTTTTAGTTTTAAGGCCTTGAGTCAATAGCATGTGACACATTGAACTCTACTAAATATCTAATGATTTTATTTATTTATTTCATACAATTACAGATTTAAATCTCTCAACTGTGATATTTTAAAAGATATATAATTAAGGTTCATATATCCCACGCCACATTATTCTTTTTAAGAGCTTTAATTATTTTAAAATTTACGTTTCTAATAAAACTATTTATATTTCAGGAAAATTGAGAACATACTACAAGTACAAGCCCTACAAAATAATGAAAGTTAGCATCATTTAAATAAGAGATCCAAATGATTTCAGTTCTAGCTCTACAAGATCATTGAGTTTCCATTATTTTTTCATCAGGCCTTATCATGGCACAACCTGATTCCAATTGGGATCTACACATTTTAAAAAACGATGTAGATGTTAAGCAAGAGATGGAGAATGATGATACTGACTATCATAAAAAATTAAATGCGATTATGGAAAAGGAGGCTAAAATGGTATTGAAAAAAAATAATTCCTTAGAGGAAAATTCTGGTGTCATGCTTAGTTATAATAAAGATTCATGCAAAATCCATAGCATGAATACAAGTTTTCCAGCCTGCTTAGTGGACTCTTCAGTTGGATCTGAAAATTGTGAAATGCAGAAAAAAGTTGTGTCTTCACTCCATTCATACAATAAAACAAACAAGAATAGAAATAATAAAAATATTCACCAATTGGTTCACGCTTCAGAGAAACCATTCAAATGTGATCTTTGCTCAAAAGTGTTTAAACAAAGGCAAAATGTAATTTTACACCTAAGAGTGCACACTGGAGAGAAACCATTTAAATGTGACTTGTGCTCTGCAGGTTTTTCACAAAAGTCCCATTTAGGTATACACCAAAGAGTTCACTTTAAAGAGAAACCATTTAAATGTGATCTTTGTTCAAAGCTTTTTAAACACAAGACAAGTTTAGATACACACCAAAGAGTTCACACTGGGGAGAAGCCATTCAAATGCTACTTGTGCCTTGCAAGTTTTTCACAAATGACACATTTACAAAGACACCAACGTGTACACAGTGGAGAGAAACCATTCAAATGTGACATGTGCTCAGCAAGTTTTTTACATAAGTACCATTTAGTTTCACACCAAAGAGTTCACTTTAAATCTAAAGAGAAACCATGGGAATGTGATATTTGTTCAAAGCTTTTTAAAAACAAGACAAGTTTAGATAAACATCATAGAGTGCACACTGGAGAGAAACCATACAAATGTAATTATTGTTCAAAGTATTTTACACGCAAGTCTAATTTCGAATCACACCAAAGAGTGCACACTGGTGAGAAACCATTCAAGTGTGATCTTTGTTTAAAGAATTTTAAGCATAAAGGGACTTTAAACGTGCACCAAAGAGTGCACACTGGAGAAAAACCATACAAGTGTGATTTTTGTTCAAAGAATTTTAAGCAAATAGGTGGTTTAAAAACTCACCTAACAGTGCACACTGGAGAGAAACCATACAAATGTGATGTTTGTTCAAAGTATTTTACACGCAAGTCACATTTAGAAATACACCAAAGAGTGCACACTGGAGAGAAACCATTCAAATGTTATGTTTGTTCAAAGTATTTTACATGCAGGAGAAATTTAAATACACACCTAAGATTGCACACTGGAGAGGAGCCATTTAACTGTCATCTTTGTTCAAAGCGTTTTAAGCAAAAAGTGTTGTTAGAAATGCACCAAACAGGGCACACTGGAGAGAAACCATACAAATGTGATCTTTGTCCAATGTATTTTACCCACAAGGTATATTTCAAAAGCCACCTAAGAGTTCACACTGGTGAAAAACCATTTAAATGTGATCTTTGTTCTAAGTGTTTTAGACGCAAGTCACATTTAGATATACACCAAATAGTGCACACTAGAGAGAAACCATTCAAATGTGATATTTGTTCAAAGCGTTTTAAGCATAAAGTGTCGTTAGAAATGCACCAAACAGTGCACACTGGAGAGAAACCATACAAATGTGATCTTTGTCCAATGTATTTTACCCACAAGGTATATTTCAAAAGGCACCTAAGAGTTCACACTGATGAAAAACCATTTAAATGTGATCTTTGTTCTAAGTGTTTTAGACACAAGTCACATTTAGATATACACCAAATAGTGCACACTAGAGAGAAACCATTCAAATGTGATATTTGTTCAAAGCGTTTTAAGCATAAAGTGTCGTTAGAAATTCACCAAACAGTGCACACTGGAGAGAAACCATACAAATGTGATCTTTGTCCAATGTATTTTACCCACAAGGTATATTTCAAAAGCCACCTAAGAGTTCACACTGATGAAAAACCATTTAAATGTGATCTTTGTTCTAAGTGTTTTAGACGCAAGTCACATTTAGATATACACCAAATAGTGCACACTAGAGAGAAACCATTCAAATGTGATATTTGTTCAAAGCGTTTTAAGCACAAAGTGATTTTGAAAAAGCACCTTCCAGTGCACACTGGAGATGAATCATACAAATGTAATCTTTATTCGCAGAGTTTTACAAGCAAGAGAAATTTAGATATACCGGTACACCAAGGAGTGCACACTGAAAAGAAACCTTTCAAATGTGATCTGTGTTCAAATTGTTTTAAAAGGAAGTCAAGTTTAGGTTTTCACCTTAAAGTGCACATGGGAGAGAAACCTTAAAAATGTGACTAGTTTTATGCAAGTTTCACACACAAGTAAAACTCAGTTTTCCTCATATAACTTCACTCTGGAGAGAAACCATTGAAATGTGATCTTTACTCAATGTATTTAAAGCACTAGAATATTTTATCTTTAAAGAGTGTGAATTACTATAAACATTATTTTTATGTTTTCTAAAGTTATTCCTTAAACAAGTCCAATTGACATACGTAGGGGTACTAAATTTTTAGTCTTTTTGAACGCAATTTTTTTTTTTAAACAAAAAAATAACGGACAAATGAAAGTGACCTTTCAGATGTATTCTTTGCAACAGATAGTAATCACATGTCATGTTCTGATTTACATGAAAAGAAAGAGTTTACACTCCAGAGAAATTCTTAAAATTTGACTGGGTGAATTGTAATCTTAAACTGACATATTTATTTCTCAAAAAGCACTTGCTATTTCAAATTAAATTAAATACACCTTATATAGAAAGAACCCCTATAAATGTATTAAGCAGTTTTTCCTTACGCTTCTAGTCTCATCATTCGAACGATAGAATTTAGAAATAGAAACATTGCAAAAGGTGTTCAAGTTAATATATATAATTTCTGATTTTTTACAATTTTTATTTAACTTAGAAAACTTTGGAGAAACCTTCAGTTTTGGTTTAATGTAATACCTTGGCTATAATAAATGTATTGTACTGAACAGAAATCTTTAATAGTGACCTATTCTTATTTAGAACCAACTTACTTATAGTTTCATTCTTAACAATTAATTACTCTTTCTATATCTATGCTATCTGAATATTTGTTTATGCTTAAAATCTGAAGCCATCCTCTTATTACAATGCTTTGAATATAATATAATTGTACAGGTATTAGAGGTAATTGTTAATGAGTTTTTAAATTCTAGTTGTGCAGCTTGAGAATTGTTTGTTTGATTAAGAAAATGTAAGACTATAAATTATTAAGTATCAATTAGTTGTCTAAAATTTCAAGATTAATTGTTAAATAATTGGATCAATTTTTTGCAAAGCAATTTTTTTTCAGCTGCTTTGATTTTTAAGTAAAATAAGTTCTAGTTTGATTTTTGTGCCATTTTACCATACGGTACATTTAATAAATACTCCTGCTTTTGTTTTACAGCAACATTCATTAATTTTTTTTAAATTTCCTTTTAATTTTAAGTTTTGCAAAGCCCATTTGAAGTTGAAGTTTAATATTATGGCTTAGTGCAAAAGCCCATTGAATTATGGTTTAGTTTGTGCAATTGCCTATTGAATTATGGTTTAGTTAGTGCTATGTACTGTGGCCGCTCTAGTAATTATAATAACTCAACAAGCAGGTCAAGATTTGGGTTCCCCTACCCCCCACGCCCGGAAAAAAACTGAAATGACGTCCCTGGGGGGAGGAAGCTTCATTTTGAGCACCGGTACTTAGACTCTGTTGTTGTCATTTACGCTTGTCAGTAAGTCATAGAAATTTGAAGATCTTTCGCACATGCATGTATGCACACTGACACACACATGTTAATGTATAAATCAGCGGTTCCCATACTGCCATATGGTTTTTATATACTATTTATTTTTTAATTTTTGTCTAATCCAAAACATACTAATACTAATCTCGTGAAAGGCAATATGGGCACGATTATATTGTATGCAGGGTAGCCCCAAAAAATGTGATAACATCGCGTTATGGTCAGAGGCATAAGCGATTCGTCAACGTTTACAAGAAATCTTGGAGAAGCAGTTAGTTGAGTAAGAAAGGGGGGGGGGGAAGACAGATTGAACATGTTTTCTGATTAGCGTTATAATTTTTTTTTTACAACTGTCAGTGACAAACTCTTATATTAATTCCATTATATAACCTTCTGTTATGAGATGTTGTCACTTTTTCTGGGCCACCCTGTATATGGCAGCCTTAGAGTAAAAGATATGTGAGATGCAGTTGGGGGGAAAAGTGGTGGGGGGGGGGGCTTTGATTACGTCAAGTTTTTATTGCTAATGTAACAGACATCAACACATGAAAACAGTGATGCGATTTGCTGACTTTTGTGTTTAAAGAATACTTAAATTTTCCAAATTTGTCCTTAGTCTATAGTATATTTTTATTTAATTTTTCTTTCTTTCATTGCTTCAGGAATTTATTTTATAATGTTTACAGTATTCATGCGAGGCTTAGACTTATATGAAAATAATGCACGCTGTCTTTTACTTGTTGTCATACTGCTTGAATATTATGTGAAAACACTATTAGGCCTATATTTGTATACCTGCTATTTCCTATAATAATCACATCTATTTTCGTCTGAATAGATCATAGTTCTTCCAACTAGCAACTGTGTTCAATGTTCACTTTTTTTTTTAAAGCTTAAACTATTATTTTATCGATGTATTGAAGGTTGCACATGATAACATGGCTTTCCAAGCTGTTTTGAAAAATTATGGCTTAGAGCAGAGTTTCTCAAATTTGGGCTGCGCCGCCCCCTAGGTGACCGCGAAGCGTTTCAAGGGGGGGGGGCGTGAAAGGGTCAATAAGATATAAATTGGATGTTATTTGCTATTGTTACACCTGGTTGCTATGTCCCGTGGATGAATCCACTTTAGTTCACATGGGGCTTGGTATGTTCACTAAATGTTTAGAACCGCTGGTATCGTGTAATGGTATATGGCACACTTCTCACTCAGAACCCAGCAGAGAGTGCGAGGAATGTTTATGCCCACTGTGTTCCACGAAATCTTCCGCATTATTGTGAATTGTCAACAATCTGAGAAGTCGTTTCAGTTAGTATCCATCTCTCAGATCTCCAACAGCCGTCCTGTCAATGCTTTGAAACTAAGTGCCAAACTTAGACTTAGAGCTAATCAAAGGATGAAAGATTGGGTTCGGCGGAGGATACGTCTCTAAACTCTCTTCGTACTTAATTTTTTGTTCTAGTCTCTGCAGGCAGAAGAGTGTGTGTAAAAAACCATCTCCATCTTTCTTATGCCTAACTGACCATCGTCTACAACTCGTTTTTTCCTTGTCAAAAATTTATTTTCTAAATGACGCTAGTTCTACCCTGGACGTTCTGTGATCTTAATTAATTGGCCTATTTAATATTGTTTTTAATTTGATAACTTGATTAAACAATATTAATTACTAATTTATATTTAAAATTTAAACAGGTAGGTTTAAAAAAAATAAATAATGTAATGTCCACCAA